CCTCTCCTCTCCTCTCCTCTCCTCTCCTCTCCTCTCCTCTCCCCTCCTCTCCGTCCGCGGGCATCCGTCCGCCCCGCTGAGGGCAGCTCTGTCTGCCCCGCTGAGGAACAGCCTCCTCTCCACTCTGGCACTTGTTTTAAAGAGCGCTGTGGGGTTTTTACTTTGAATTTTAGCACTTCTGATGCCGTATCCACCCTTTGCCCGTTCTCCTGTGTTTTGCAGGCACCCTTCGGTACGGAGATGCGGGAGGGCTGGAGCAGCACCTCGTACATCTCCGTTTTCTGGGAACCCGCCAGCATCATCGCATACCGGTGAATTCAAGGTGCTTCATGACCGTCTGGTCTCCTCGGCTTTCAGGATGCCACTTCTTAGCTACAGCATAAGAGCTGCTGAATTGACTTGAGCAAAAATTACCTAGGTGATTAGCGGGTAAAATACCTTGTGGGATGAGGATTCTGCCCCTGCCACCGGTGATTCGGGTTTGGTTTCAACATCGCCTGTGGCCGCTGCTTCAAGAAGGAGTTGCCTCTCCTTTTATCTAAATTTTGCATGTATCGACCTAACTCCAGCACAGCAAACCAAATTGATCCTAACAGAGTTACAAGTAGATAATGCTTAATAAATAGCTTCTCTACAATTGCTGATGTTTCTTTTCTGATGGGGTAGGAGTAGTTTTATCAAGCTCATTGATTGCATTATAGTTTTAGATCCCATTTACCCCCTATTTCAACTGCTGGTTTGTTTGGATTCTTCTGTTTGTGAAATTATGAAATACATATTTTTCTATTTTGGCAGAGCTTTTTAGAAAAGCAACAACATCAAATGCATCAAAGAGCTTTCTGTTTATCAAATCATGAGATAAAACTACCCCTCAGTAGTCAAATCATTACATGTGTATCAGACCTTAATTATAGAAATTACTTTCTTTCTTATGCAGCCTTTTAAACTTGTTTCTCAGCCATTAAATTACAAAGGCTTATTAGGAGCTTTCAGTTTCTAATACACAGATATATTTTGTGTATTTTGTGTAATTGAAACCAACTTTAAAATTGCTTGTGAGAAAAAAAAGCAAGAACAAGGACTAAAGGAAAGATTCATCCACTCCAGAATGTGATATCTCAGATATTAATTTTATTTTTAGCATTCAGGATTGTTGACAATCAAATTTTCAATCTTCTATATAGACTGTGATTTTTGTCTTCAGAAAGGAACAATTTAGCTGGAATGTTTTAGTAGACACTACTTTACCAATGCTCCATAGCTTCTTGGTGGCTTGTCAGGTCTCCCTGTTTGAAGAAAACTGCTTTAGCTGGATATTAGCTCTGGACTGTTGATTTTGCAAAGGAGTGGTTCGGAGTTGAAGAAATCAGGAGAGAAGAGGCACTCAGCGTTGTAGAGTTTTTGTACAAATCATTGACTTAGGGACTTCCAGATGCTTTTGACAGTTACATAGTTATCTCTTTATTTAGGATACAAAAAAACACATCAGGAGGATTAGTTAGCCTACCTGTGCTCTGCTTACTTTCTAGAGGTTCCTCTTTGTAGGCTGTGGATAGAGTTTATTAGATTTTAGCACTAAAATGTCACTTATGTTATCAATCTTGTGTTGTGTGGTAGAAACTTGGATTGTGATTCTGATCCTCTGTTAGTTTATGAAGTAGAGGGAATAAAATCCTAGAATGAACAGGGTTATGTATTACCACATAACATTTTGTTGCACTGACAGTCTTCTTCCATGTCTGGTTTAGAAAAACTTGTTCAGTCCATGGTGTTCACGAGCTGGTATCCATATCTAATATCTAAGTACTCTCCATTAAATAAAGAAGTATTCTGCAACTGAAAATGTTTGTTTTCTCAGCCTGTGTACATGCTCAGGTTCATTTATGGATTTGGCTTGTGCCTGGCAGCTATTTTAAATAAGCAAAGCAAAGGGCACTGAGAAAACAAAGTTGTATTATGTATGATTTGAAATATCTTCCTTTAGGAAGATTGTTACAAAACAGATTAACTCTGCAGTCAGCTTTGACTAGATGTTCATAGCAGGGGCCTACTTTCCTGACACACAGGTGTTATAGGTGCTGCAACAGTAGGTGCATGGTGTAGCTCAAACTCCCAGTCAATTGAATTTTGGTGCTTCAGTGACTTTGAAGTGGTGTTTGATGAAATGTTAGTCTTTGGTGTGTTTACTAGGTAAATAATGATAATGTCTTTTTAATTTCATGCATGGCATCACAAAAACATTGGCTTGGACAGGACTTCGGGGATCATGTAAGCCAGCCTTTAGCTCTGAAGGAAAAATAGTCTACCTGGAGATATTTATTTGAAGTATTCACAGACCATCTACTTAAGGAAATTTCAGTTTCTCAAAGGTAATTTACTCCTGTGCTGTCTCCACTTCTAGAGTGACTTCTCCTTAACAGTGTTTAATCTGAACAATTCCTGTTGCTGTTGAATATTATTTCAATTGCTGTCAGTTCTCCAAAATAATTCTATAAGTGCTGACTAATTTCAAGTTAGGCAGGGGAGTCCTAAATCCCTCTGCATCAGTTTTGTCACATCCCAGGTTACATTTTTCCAATAGGACAATTATAATTAGTCTATGAAGGTATGATTAAAAAAAAAAAATCCAAACAAAAAAACCACAACCAACCAAACAAAAAAAACACCCCCAAAAACAACAACAACAACAAAAACAACTAGTGTTTTAGCCTGCAGGCTGACAAAACCAAGCAAGGCTGCTTTATTTCCCCTAGAGAATTTGAGTTTTTGTAAGAATAGAAAGAATGTATGCTAAAAATGAAAGATTTATTACTCAGTTAGCTTCTGTAGTCCTGACAGATCATTTTGTGCCAAACTGACTTCAACTTGCTATTCACCATCTCCCCTTTTCTAGCTACCTGTCTTCATTCCCTTTCTTGTTCTGTTTTCACTTTTGGCAAGGATGTTGTTAATCTATTACCGTAATTTTGCTGTTGTTGTTTTTTTAAAAATTTATTTATTAAATTGGTAATGTATGTTGTAGAACTCTAGCCAAGACACAGACTTATAAATGATGATTTTATAAAAGTACTTAATTATTGATGAAAGTGCTTGACATTTGTTGGTGGTAATTATTATGTGTGATTACTTTGTCAGAGGCAGATATTTCTGAATAAAAAGAATTTAATTCAAAACATTGCTTTTATATTAAGGACCTTTTCCATATTAAGGAATTCTCTTTTCTCAACTACTTTTTCATTTATTTAAAATTACTTCTTATTCTCTTTTGTTAGAGAATTCTAGGACTTTTCTCATGAAAACCAGTTTGTTACCTACAGTTGCACATATTACCACAATTTATTTATTATGCACTATTAAGCTAGATTACTAACATACCAAATAGTGAAGACCAGTGTCACTATCCAAAATATGATTGTATTTTGGTAATCCTTATTAAATTACAGCATAGTAGCATAAGGCTTTGGCATCAATAAAAGTTATCTAGGCTGTGCCATTAGTGAGCTGGTGGTGTAAATGATTGGAGCTAGATAGTAAATTAGACATTGGTTTCATGACAATAGTTGAGAATGGTTCTTAAGAACATAAAAAAGTTTGGATTTATTTTCCAAATAAGAAGTAACTTAATCAAATAGTCTTAATATGTTGATATTCCACAGTACATTCCCACTGTTTTTAATATTGGATTTAAATGATTCATAACCCATGGGGCAAAGTTTGTGTGTCCAACCCTAAAGATATTTACAAAATTAGGAGTCTTGCACGGTCAGATTTTCATCATGCTGATATAATTACGTCTTCTCTCTATTGTCTTGTTTATTCCAGACAATACATAACAAATTATTTTCACTTTTAGGTGCTAAATAACCCTTGGAAAATCTAGGAAAAAAACAAGATTTCCCTAAATCAGTTCTTGGAATAGTCTAATAGTTGCATATGAATTTGGCCTATCTTCTCAAAAATATTTAGATTCTTCATGTATGATGATCTTAATGTTGTATAAATACTTCTGAGGATATTTGTTTAGTGGCAAAAAAAGACTGCAGAAGCTTATGCTTATGCAAGACAACACTCAGCTGCTAAATATGGGGGCCTGCATGTGTAGCATTTGCACTCACAAAGAGAAGTTTGGGCACACTCAAAATCATTGAATTTAATTAAACTTATTGCACTTAAGAGTCTGCAGCTCTGAGGAATTAAATCAGAAGTTTTCTGCTAGAAATAAATTCTGTAGTGAATTCCTGGCCCTTCTGAAATCTGTAAATGTTCTGTCCTTAGCTTTATTGAAGGCAGGTCTTTTGGGTTATCTCCTCCTAAGCAGTTGCAATGTCTGTTATGAAAGTAGTGATAGAAGACTTTCAGTATTCTGCACAGCTTCAGAAATGTGAAATGTACAAGTTTTACGTTAAAGATAGCTGTATCCAATGTCCTCTTCCTGTTGTTTGTACTCCTTGTACCCTCTTTGCCTGAGAGCTTTAACCATACTACAGCCTGATGTTTAGTTTTCCCTTCAGCATTGGGGAGTTTGCAAGTAATTCATGTCTTCTGAAACCTAATGTACAGTCCTTCAGTCCTTCATAGTCTTCTTGGACCATGCAAGTCCAAGAGCTTCATCCTGGCACAGTCAAAACTGTAAATGGAATGCAAGATAGAGCTCTGTGTTTCTTGAGATGACAGTCCATCTGGGAATGGAACTTGCTAAGACTTGTTATGTGTGTTTCAGCTCCAGTCTAACTAAAGCCCTCCATATATAGTGTCCTGGGTGCTAACAGAGGAGTTTGCTGGATTCATCAGTCAGGCTGTAGGTGGGACAGAAATCACAAGGTGTTTTGCACCTTTAATACTCTTTTCCCCTTGTTAGGATGGGTATCTTCTAACTTGTGCGGGAAGAAAGCCAAAGTATATTAGGACAAACTTCTACTTCAATATTTATTTGAAATAAGTGGACTAAAAACTTTAAAGATATTGTGTGATCTTTTTGTTTAGACTCAATTGAACGTTTTGACTATAAGGTACTTTTCTGTAACTAGGTCCTAAAAACAAGAGCTTTACTTTTTTCATTCCTTATCTTTCTTTGTTCATTCTTCCTGAATTTCTCTTAAGCTTCCTGGAATCTGTGTGATTGGATTTTTATTCATTCGTTCTTAAATATAGTAATATTATCTGAACTATTGTTTGGCATGTCTCATTTCTCCTGAAAGAAACAAATAAATAAAAATGCTTTCTTTGCTGTTAAGTCTTATGCAGGAAAAGGCAGATGAATGATGAATCAGTTCATGATTCTGGCAGTACTGCTCCCCCTGAGGATGTGCTACACTGCATACTCACAGCAAGGTAAATGTTTGATTTTTTTTTTATTTGGAAGCAGTCTACAGCAACTGAAGCTTTCAGTTTGTTGATTTGTAAGTCTCTGATCAAGCAACATGTCACACATTTAATCAAATTATTCTCTTTGGTAAGGTGATAGAGCAACTTTCATTATTACCTTTTGTGACTCCATTATGCAAAAATGCCTGTTGAATCAGCAACTTGCAATGATGTGAAGCCAAGGTGTATTTATTTATTTTCTCATCCTCTTTCTCCTATCATCTGTACTGTCATATTAAAATAATTTATTTCCTCTTTGACAACTTCTATGTTTTTTTTATTTCTTTCCTTTCTTTTTTTGTCTCATCTCTTTAGCATTTCTGTTGGCTCTTTTCTGATTGTACCACAAGATTCCAGGACCAGATTTTTAATTTTTACACTTCACATACTCATCCAATACAAATTCAGAAAGAAAATCTGCATATTTTAAGGGGAAAGAGTTGAGTATAATGATAACTTTAATGCTGTGTGTTTTAAGGTAAAAAATACTTGTGTACTTGCTGCCAGCATTTAGGTATGTCTCCATTAAAAGAAAAAAGAAATCTTAATTGCCCTTGCTGTGACCACCACTAAAAAGGCAAACGTTACCAAGCTCTAGTCTGCATTATGGAAATTGTATTGCCTTTTTTAAGTTGGTGAAGAAAGCAGAGAGATGTTTGGGTTTTTAAAAATATATTGATTATCATACTAAAGGGACAATATATCTTTTTCAGACATTTTTTTCTCTCTTCAACCTTGAAATTCACATGTTCACACACCACTCACCCAAGTCTCAGTTTTGAGATTATTACTAGGGCTCCTAGAATGAGGAAAAAACTTTGTAATGCTGGCAAGTCCAGACAGTTACTTCATTACAGTAACTTAGTCACTTGTTTTCACATGCAATTTTTCAGGAATAAAATTAGTGTCTGTTAATCATAACTATTCACATAGTCTTGAGTTAGCTTGCAAGTTAAAACAAGTCTTAAGATGCCTCAAACGCTTAATTTTGCTAGAAGAGAATATTGTAACTGTGAATGCTGCAAATACTTTCACATGTTAAAAATACACTACAAAATTCTTTAATAGCTACTTTGTAAGTTGGTGGTCATCAAGATTTTGGATATATCCTTAACTATGTTGTTTCTTCTATTTTTTAGTGCTGTGCATAAGCTCCAACTGATTATCTAGACTGTTTTATGCCAAATTCTGTATAAAACAAAATAGTGTGGGGTGTGAAGTGATATGTTGTCTAGCTGAAGAGAGATAGTGGAGGGACACTTGTACACATGGAGGAAAAACAGAAACTAATAAGACCTTAGCAGTTCTTTTATCAAGCTAATTAAGTGTGTCAGGTGGATGTATTCTTTATGGCAAGAAAAGGGATGATATTTTCATTTGGACAAAAAAAAACAGATACAGAGAGGAGATGCTGGCTCATCATCAATGCAGTAGGCATAATAGTGACACTTGCAATTATAATTTGCTATAAAAAGAGCAGAAAGAGGATAGAGAAATTCAGAACATATGCAGAAGTTTCTTTTAATGGTGCACCCTGATAAAGAAAGGGGATTCTGCCAACTGGCTGGCTTTTCTTTCAGGTGTATTTATTTTCTTTCCCTGGACCCTTACTTTTTGCCATTGAAATTCATTGAGAAACTAGCAGGGTCCTTTCCTTCCCCCAGTTCCTTTCTTCCTCTGTTGCTTCAGCAGTTCAGACAGAAAAAACAGTAGAAAACAACAAGGCCCAGAGTTCTAGATCATCTTGTGAATGTGAAATGAGATCCCTCAAGAGATTTGGTACATGGTGTTTCAGGTAAATGGGTAGTGAACATACAAGAATACTGGAGACATTACAGTTAATTCTTTAGCATAAGTAGGATTTTAACAGTGTTTATCTTGTTTTGATGGTGAAAGTCTGGAAAATGTGGGAAAATGAAGTGTGTTTTGTCCTATCTTTACAAAATAAAGTGATACTCCACTTCCGCTGTTGAGTTTATGAATCATTGTGTTGTTTTGGTTGTTCTGGCTCCTTGCCTGGTCAGTTGTTGGCAGTGAAGTTAATAATATTTCTTTTTTCCAGTAAAACCTAAAATTGATGCTCTGTCATCATTCAGTGAAATTTACCCCCAAGCTTTTTACATTGTTTATTTACTTTCAGGCAATAATTGTCACAGGTACAGGGTTTCCTTATGGCAGTATAAAACTGATGCCCATAGTTTTTCAAAGCAGCTGTGAAGCAGCAGGTACACTTTTTAAGGACCATGTCATTACCATAGCCAAAAAGGAAATTTTATTTCTGCATGTGAAACATTTTGCACTTACCACGCAGAGACATTAAGGCTGTGAATTCTGCTTTCATGTAAATTTACATGTTAATAATTGCATAGTAATTATATATTAAGACTGCAGTGAGACTTTATACAAGGTGTGTTGCATATATTTCTTTCTCCAAAACACTTGAAGATACTATAGTCCTGTTTCTAAGACCATATGTTTGAACAGTAAAACTTGATTTGTTCTCCAAGCTTATCTGAAGATGCTCATACCAGAAGTTTTCTCTAGATGGAAAACATATGGTTTTCATTTTGCTCTGACTTTTAGTACCCTTGAAAATCGAATAGGCTAAAAATATCCCAACAGAGTTTCTGGATGTTTTGCTAAAAGAGAATCCTTTGTTCAGCAGTTTTTAATAACTTTGTACCTTTTTTCCTCCATATATTCTTTAATTTTAGTCTGTACTTATATAAACAACAGAGTTGTGTCAGTGTCTGTATTCTCATAATAAACAAATATGCTTATAAAGTTTTATTTGCTTCCTTTGATTGACCTGAGATTGTTATAACTGCTGCTTCTCTTGAGCCTTTTGTTCCTTTCTCCTATTGTAAAAATCCCTGTGTTGGAAAACTGCTGCACAGAGGTTGGGGTAATGCAGCTACTCCAGGATAAATTGCAGAATTATTTGGATACATGGTGGCTACCAGAAGTATCTATCAAAATGTAGATTCTCAGTCCAAATCTCCTGAATTCTTGTGTTTCTGCGAGTGATACATGGCAAAAGTCTAAGGTAGTCCAGTGAGGGAAGTGTATCTAGGGGACAGGATGGAGGTGGCAGTTTTGTAAGGGGCTGCTGAGGTTACTCAATCCATTGTGCCCCTGATGATTCTGGCTGTAATGTATCAGGAATGCACAGAATGCGTCCTATTTTATTAAAAGGTGTAGCTATTTTTGTGTCTCTTTTTCTGTGTTTTGGTTAGGATAAACACTTTGACCTTGTCCTTTTGTAACAAGCAGAAGCACCTTGGAAAGCACCTGTGGCAAAAGAAAAAACCTAGTTACTCAGACGGTTCATCTCCCTGGCTTCATTAACAATCAGATCAAATTTAGGGGGTTTATGTTTGTTTCATTTTCAGGAAGTAGAGAATTGACAGATCAGTGAGTGATATATTTCATTTCTTCCAACAGTTAGGGTTTTTAGGGAGGGGTCACAAAGGAATCATCTAAAAAGAGGAACCATTTAGAGGGTTATATGTACTTTTCCACAGAACAATCTTGCAGGGCCTTTTATTTCCCAACACCAAAAGGGACTTCTGTCTGACTTTTAGATTTTGCTTTATCATGTCATTGTCTAGAATTAAATCCATACCAAGAGAAGTATGCAAGTGCCATTAGAGCTAGGTGTCTAATTCCAGTAGAAGAATCCACAGTCATGACCAAAGTGCTGTGTAGAGAAAACAGGAATGCACTTAATGCTAGACTATGAGCTAAGCTAGCTACTGAGGGAAACCCTCATCCTATTCTGTTAAAATAATGGTTTTGCATGAACTCATTTAGTCTGTATTATGTCAGAGATCAAAACTGAGCCCAGAGTTTCTACGCCAATGATATGAAGGCTTGCTGGGGTTTGGAATTTTTTGGGATTTAGTCCTTCTTAATACATTATGTTGTTCCTCTTTATAAGATTATGATGGTATTGGTCTGTACTCCCATAAAACAACTAGTAAATTGAGAGCATAAAGAAATTAAACAATGTACCAAATGTCATGGTGGGGAGCTATTGAATAGATTAAGGAACCTCATTTTATCCTGCTGATTCCTTAAGAAATGACTTATCTTCCCTTTTGTCATCATTAGCATAGGTCCTGATCACTTACTTTTTTTTTCCTTCAGAACCATCTGGTGTGAAACCTATTTTACCTCTAACCACGTTTTTTTCAAGTCTGCTTTATAACTGAGCTAGACAGTAATATTTTTGTGCCCTTTTTCTGCTCATAGAATCCGATGTGTTTCCAGTAACGTACCTTAACGTTTCCAAGGATTTGGATCTTCAACGGCTGCTGGTGGAATGGGATGTTGTCAAGTCAGCACATGATGCTGAGTTGGCAATATCTTTTGAGATACAAGTCCGTCGAACTGATGAAGCTACTACTGTGTGGACAGTAAGTGTACTTAGAAGAGAAGTGTACTAGTCATTTTCAGTGATGGAAGATGTAGTCATGTCTCTTTGTAAACTCCCTGTCCTAATAGTTTTCCTTAGTGTCTGAACCAGCAACATTTTCTGAAGAGGAGATCACCCAAATAACAGGCTTAGGCCTGTTCTGGGTGTTTTTCTGCTTGTGACTTCTGTATGGGAGCAGCCTCCAAAAAGACTTTTTAGAACTTAAACTGAAAAACTGCACTAGTTCATTTAGAGTTGCTATTTGTCAGAAAGTACATAAAACAGACAAAGTCTTACTTTTCTGAAATCAGGGATCAATATAATAAAATAGGCATTGTTATAAATCACAGTTTACTTTGATCACCCTAGCTGGTGGTGTTTTGTCTCTGAGTATGAAGAACCACATCTTCACTGCAAATGAGTTCTATGCAGTTCTGAAGATTTTTACCACTTTGATATGCTGGATAGGATTTTTATCCCAATGAGTAGATCTCACCCTGAAGTCAGCAACTGGGGCCATATAGCTACAAACAATTAAGCTGGGTTTTTTTGAAGTGTCCTTCAACAAATTCTTATTAAATTATTGGAAGGAAGTAAAAGTGTCTCAAATCCAGGGATGTAGTCCATTCTGTTTGTTCATAATAAACATGACAAGTTACTTTGAATGTCACTACCATACAGGAATATATTTGCTTCTGTGTTTTTCTGATGTATGTGTACCAATAAAGAAGCTCTGTGAGTCTGCTCATACCAAAACATGGACAGCCTATAACTTCTAGAGCTGTAGCCATGTCCCTCAGGGCTATAACTGAGAAATTAAATTTTGAACTGATGGCAGAATTTTTCTTAGAGGAGTGGCAATATGGAAGTGCAGGTGTTGCTGATGGAAAGCAGTACCAGGGAGAAGTTCTCTACTGCTCAGTGTGAGTCACGGCTTTGGCACAAATCATACAAGCAGCACAGATCTATAGGCTGAGAATCTAGTGTGGTTGCTATAAGAACTAAAGCATGTAGAATGATAGAATCTCAAAGGTTGGAAAAATTCTATAGGGTCATTGAGTCCAGCTGTTAACCCAGCACTACCAAGTCCACACTAAACCACATCTCTAAATGCTGAATCCACACATCTTTTAAGTCACTCTAGGGGTGGTGACTCCACCACAGGAATAGGTAACCCAGAGCATAAGGATGCATTTGTAGGCAGCAGCTTATGTAATAGCAGACATAAATAACATACAGTCTCTGAGAGCAAATCCTGGTCATGAGAAGCAGGGTCTTACTCCCGAATATATCAGCACATCAGTCACTCCACCACCGCTAGCACAGATCTGTAAGAAGTTGATTAGCTGACTAGTTACTTAGTGTGAGATCCCGTATAGCTAGTAGAGTTTCAGACATTCATTTTCCAAAGCATTTTTCTCCTTTGAGCTTTCCTGCTGCTTTTGATTATATTTCCAAATTTTCACGTTGCTGTGTTTTCAATACTTTGCCTTACTGCTCTTTGTAGGAATTTCAAAATGTCACGCTTGATAAACTGGGAAAGCCTCTTCATTGGACATGGGACTCAGACATACCTTTGGAGTGCATGTCACATGCTGTGAGGATCAGGAGCAAGGCCAAAACATCAAAAATCTGGAGTCAGTGGAGTTTGTGGGAGTCTCTTCCAGGTAAGCAAAACAAGACTTTGTAATATTGGGGTTTTGTTTCAAGTATAAAACTAGTTTGTAATTCACCAGCAAATGTAACCATGGAGGACAGTTCAGGAGAGATGGCATCACATCAAGAATCCATTTGCTCTAAGCACTAGCTAGTTCCTATATTTTGCCAGCAATAATAGAAGTGCTTCAGGCATTGCTATAATTTGCAGAATATCTCCCTAGACAAAAGTTTTAGAGCTTTTTTTTTTTTTTACACACATTAAAACAATGTAATAGATGAAGTGACATGGGATCTTGGATAGGCACATCCCTGGCCCAGACTCAGGGAAAGGAGGGGAAGCACAGAGTGAGGGGCTTCATGATCTGATGAATGTGTGTTTTTTGTCTGGGATTCATAGCTTGAATTGGTATTACAGAAGCAGAGAGAAAGGAGCAAGTCAGCTCCTTATTTCACTTGGAAGGAATGTCTTCTGAATTATACGAGAATAAACCAGGGAGTGAACCAATAATAGAATTAATGACATCACAAAATTAATCTTTTTTTTTGGATTACCATGTCTTACTAGAGCAGTTTGGTTTCCAGAGAATCTTGTTTAAACAAAATATGCAACTACTTTAGAAAACATGACTCTAGTGATTTTATAATGAAACACTCATTTGGAGCAGCAAAGGCTTTTAGATATTGGAGGCATCATGTCTCCAACAGAAGAGGCATCACAGATGTTCATACTTGGATTGTGACACTCATCTCTCTGTTGTTATATAATGAGCAGTAAGATGCAAGATTCTTTTTTTGTCCCACAGTCTTCTCAATCCTGGAGCTTATTTTTTTCAGTTACAAGTAGATGTGGTACAAAAATACTTTCTTGGTCACAAACTGATCCCACATTACAGACCTGATGTAGAGCTCTCTGAAAGGTAGCAGCCTGTCATCAGGTTTCTGGATCAGATTCTTGACAGCAGATTTTATTCATGCAATATGTGTAAAAAGTTGTGAGTCACTTAAATTCCACTAATGTTCCCATCCAGCAAGCAGTCCAAGATAGAAAGCTATGGGAGTCTCATTCCAAGTTGATTATCCCCTTGATCTGATTCAGTCAATGTTGACTCCTCTTAGCTGAGCCTCTGCATGGCCATGTTGTTTTTGTAGCCCCCTGCCACAAGTCTTCAAGACCAGGTGTTCTGGATATAAGCAACAGTGTCTGCATAGGAGAAGGAGGTGGTGTTCCTTTGTAAAGAGAATTCTTGACATAACACTTTTGATTTCCTATAAATGAAAGGCAGTAAAACAGATTTAGTCTCTTAGGTAGTTTGTTGGACTACATTACATGCTTATGAGTTTAAAAGAAAGGTATTATTACATGTGAAATTCACCTCTGTATTCAGAAGGATACTAAATAAGAGTCTATGAATGGATAATATAGCATTAGCAATTTCTTCTGGAAATGCTTAGTTTTGTGTTCTGGCTGAGGGCTGCTGCCTTGAGCAGATTTTTTTTTTTAATTTTTTTTTTTAATTTTTTTTTTAATTTGCAGGTCTGGACACTTCAAATAGGAGTGGGCCACAAATCTTTCCAAAAGAAAAAATTTTAGCAGAAGGCTCTGATATTACTCTTTGCTGCATAGGAGGGAAAGGTCAAACCATTAAGGAATTCTCTGTATTCCCAACTGTTGATGTTTTCAAGCACACAAACAGTCAAGTCAGACTTCTCACTGTGGAAAATCTGTCACATGACAAAGGATCTAACATTCATGTCTACTGTTATGATGAGGATAAACGGTCACATGAAGCAGCTTTCTTTGTGGGTAGTAAGTGAATACATTTTACAGGTTTATTTTCCTCTTGTTATTAACTCAAGAATGACTGTAGAAAAAATGGATGGGGGAAAAAGCTTGCTGTAAGTTATTATGCTCTTGTCATGTCTGTCTGAACTCCATCTGACTTGAGATTTGTAAATTTATATAGAGAAAACAGGAAAGAAATTAATTGACCCTATGACAGGTGGTTGATTCATAAACATACCCACCCATTCAGGAGTTCAGCTTCCTTGTCTGTGTGCATGTGGTAAAAACTCAGCACAGTCTCATTTTCAAAGGCCAATAGCAATTTTTAAGGATAGAAAAGAGTACAGATTGAATAAATGAATGGATGAGTATTAAAAAAAGATAATGGAGTATAAAAGTGTTTGATTGCTATTGACTCGTGGTATTGTCTTGACCATCTCTGCAGAGTAGCCAGTGAATAACTGTAATTTCAGTAATAGCATCTATAATAAACCAGACTTTGTACTTATCCATTTTCTAGCTTGTTAATGTTTAAAAAGGTTGATGAGTTTTGCCTTGACTGCCATAATGGTTTCTTTTTGGTTATTTTTTCTGATAAGAACCACCTGATACACCTAAAGATTTTTCTTGCCAAACTCAAGACATGAAAAGAGTAACATGTACTTGGAGAGATCAAGAGACCTATCTCTATGGAAAGAATTCACCAAAATACACAGTGTCTAAAACGTAAGTCTTATTGTTGTAGATATGTGCTGTACCAGTCACCTTCTTTCCTTCTTTCCCTTAGAATCTGTGGATTTGTTGTTGTAATTAGCTGCTTACCTTTTTCTACCTCACTGATCACTTATTTAACAAAGCTTGAGCAGTGCTGAACTGCTCTGAATCAGACTAGCTATAACAAAGTTGGTAGTCCTTTAGATCAAGTTCTGCCTGATAAAGCTTATTCTAACCATTCTTTTGAGTTAGTAAGTTTGGATATTGTTCTGTAGATAGCAAGATACCCTGAAATCAGGATGTAGATAACTTAAAAGTATAACATAATTGTTGGGTAGCACACACAACAGATAACTAGGATCTGATCAGCTGGTAGGTTGAGTATTAGTGTGGTCATGATCCATTGGCACTTAGACCGAGTACTCTGCCTGATTAACTTCCCTAGTTATTTTCCTTTTGGATTTTAGAGCTTTAGATGTTGATGTTATCCTTATTGAATCCTTGAGCCACTGACAATCCTATCTCAAATGTCCTTCATGTGTCTATAATTTCTATAGCTTCAGCTGGCCCTTTTACTTTAAAAAAAAAATCTGTAGACTTTCTCATAGCTCTTTCTTAGCAGTCTGAGTCAAGGCAACACAGCTGTGGGATATCAGACATGGCCCTTGCATGTGAAGAGGGGCTTTACATCAAGGTCTGCAGAGAAAGGGAAACTCATGAAATGGGACAGATGCCTCAGAATCACAACAAACTTTAATCAAAATATCTCAGCAGAAAACAGGCCAGCATTGCATACACCTTCCTGGTCTCTGCATCATTCACTTCCATTAGGATACTGGGATGCTGATTTAAAAATGGAAGGTTAGAAGATGCACTTCAAGGTGCAGTTAAAATTACAATTTCATTTAAAAGCTTAATTGTAAACATGTAAATTATTTAAGTCTTGGCAAATAAGTCACTGGTTTAGACTATCCATAAAGAAGTTTCTAAAAGCAATGTAGCTGTATCTTAAAAAAACAAACCTGCATTTCAAAGGAAACTTTTTTTAAGAGTATTTGTATGCATCATACTTCGGGGTAAAGAAAAGAAGTGTGTGGCTTCTTATATAAGGCCCCTCAGCCTTATTTTTTATGATGCCATATTCTAGTTGGACATCAGAAACTTTCAAGATCTATGTTGATTATATATTATGGACAACTCTTTTTGCCTCTCTCCTACCTCTCACTTTCTTTGATAGGTCATCCCAGAAAACGGCTCTGTGCAAAGCAAGTTGTTCTAAGAAGTGCTCATGCTCTTGGAATATAGGCCAGCAGCGGATCTGGAATGTCACAGTGACTGTGGAAAACCCACTGGGAAAGAAAACTGCCACAGATGTTTTTGATGTAAATCACAGACGTAAGGGTTTTTTCTATACCTTTTTTCTGGGCTTTTTGTTGCTCCTTCTGAGCTTGATACTTCTGTGCCCCGGTTTGAAGTATGGAAGTCCTTGATTTTTATCTTCCCAGTTTAATTTCTTATCTGTCCCTGTGCTACAGTTACCTGCTCTCTCTTCAGTTTCACCTTCGGGAAGTTGTATGAACAGTAGAAAACAGCTTTACTCCAAACATCAGATTTGGTAATTGGAATTACCCCCTTAATGTTTTGAAATCTGCTGCTTTGCTGAAGCTGGCTAATGGAATAGAAAACAAAATGATACAAGGATATAAAATGGGATGTTTAAGCAAAATATCTGTGTAGGTTACTTGGGAATTGATATGATACGAGATGTGATACATGTGTAGGAGTTATTGCTGGGAAAGAAGTTATGGTGCTAATCTGCTTTTGGTCCTAATATGGGATGGTAACCTCCACTGTACTACTGTAAGGGAGGAAAAGTAGTTCATCAGTGACAAGAGGCAGGTTATTCTCTAAGTATCTAATGGCTGTGGTTCCTTGTTCCCAAATAGTTGTGTCCTTTATCTCAGTATGCCATGGGTCCCCTAAGCTTCTTCCTACTCTTGCCTCAAAACAGCTGGGTGTTTCTTCAGTCTCCAGCAGTATTTCCAGTTCTCCTTGAGTCTTCTTCAGTGTTCCCCAAGTCCTGTGGTTGCAGGAAGCAGGAGGCCATATGTGCAGCTCAGAAGCTGACAGGACAATGGGTGGCCTAGGAGGTTGTTGGTGTAACTGCTGCACCCTGGCACTGCTTCCTTTCTCAGAGGCATTACTGACAGTTTTGCAAGACACATTTTTTTTATATGAAGAAACTAACGTTAAATGTCTGTGTTTGATTTGTCTCAAGAGAGGCATGAGAATTCTAAAATTTGATTGTCTGATTGTTCGGAAGTGGAAGAAATAGGTCAAGAAAGTGGAGGAGTAAACTGACAGGTTGTATGTAGAGAGACAATACAATGTCATAAACTCAGTTTTCATGGGAAGTCAGGCTAGAATAGTTTACATTCAATGTGATAAGTACATTAAAATTTATTACAATATTATTTTTCTGGTCCTAGTGATAGTTGCAAGTTAAAGAAATTTTGTATAATATGTGTGATAAGTTAAGCTTTTAAATAGTGCTTCCTGTAAAATCCTTCATTTTTTTCTCTGATCCTGCAAATATTTACATTAGGATTTTCTTTCTTAAAGGACGACAGTAAGTAAAGGAAAATGTAAATCCATTTGTTTCCAATTCTGCATATGCTACTTTGGACCTTCTATATCAAATACAAACTCTTTCAAGTGTGAAAGTCCTCAAATTGTATTTCATGGAGTAGTGTAATTCAATCATGTGAAGTTTTAGGATAAAGGGTACAAGCATTACCCCTCACCTGCATTGCCCTGCCCTCACATTGCATTGCATTCCTCACTATTGTATGATAATATGGGAGAGTCTGAGATTTACTTCACTTGCTGAATACTCTTGCTCTTACACAGCAGTAAAGAATCTCTGAAATCTTTTGGAAGAAGTAGCATTGTCACTGTTTGCTGGAGGATAACTACTGACAGGAGTTAATGTTAGAGTGAATAAAATTGTTGTCAAATAATCAAATTCTGCAGTGTAGAAATGTGTCAAATGTTACCATATTATATCATGGTAGTTTCTGCCAGGCCCTGAATTAGAGAATTTTAATTGTTTGCAATTAATGTTTCTCTTCCTTTTATCCATGATGCTTTAAAACTTTTCTAAGTAGCACAAGGGGAATTTTTAAACTTTATGTAACATTTACTTGCATTTACATTCTGAAATGAAGTTTTACAATTTATATGTGTTTCTTCTAGATTAGGAGAAAAATCTCTATTTTTTTATTTGCTTTTACTACGCAGCTAAAATATCTTAATATACTATTGCATGTATTTTATGTTTTGAAACAGCTAACTCAGATTTTCCATTGGCAGTGTATCCCACTGCACCTTTCCAGGTTTGGGAAGATTGTACAGATACAGAAATGACATTACACTGGAATTATGAAAACAATGAAATTGAACTCTTTTGTCAGACTGAAGTGCTCCAACCTGATGGAAAAGTAGAACTGGTATGAAACCTGAATTTCCTAAACAAAAATATAGTGAGGATCTCTCTGATGTGATTAAAAAATAAGTACCCAGCAATACAAATGCATTATAAGTCTTGTGAGCATGTTGATTTGTCTGTTTTCTGGATTTGTTTGCTTCCCAAGCTCTACACTGATTATGCAGTCCATGTGGGCAGCCACTCTTTGCTCTAACTCTCACTCCAAGTACTGCCTGTACCCTGGCAGAAGTATGTGGTATAACTGGTCTGACTATGTCGCTCAGTGCTTTGCGGAATGGGTTCTGAGATTTCTTGAAGTTAGTGAAAACACTGAAGGGCCTAATAATCGTTAAGTTGTATAATACATAATATATATATAAGCTACTGGTAATTTTGATTTATTTCAATTGCTCATGCCATTTCACATGTGCCATTTCACATGTGCCATTTCAGAGCAATGTTGAAGGTTTCTTTTGTATCAGTCCAAGCTTTTTCTGTGTGCTAGTGATTGTAGTTGATGTTAGAGTCTGGTTTCTAGTGGTGAAATCCCAGAACAATTTTTCTTCCCTTCCTCTTCAATCTCTTTGAAGATTATTTGACTAGATTCCTTATCTTTTTCCACCTCTTCCACAAATGGTGAGCTTGATGGACTTTTTGCCTGTTTACTGTCACCTCTCTATAGCTCTTTTCTTAGAAGGCAGCTTGCCTCTAGCACATTAAAAAGGTGCAGTGCAAACACAGTCAAGCTGCATTCTGTCTTTATTGTAGTTTAGGATTGTAGGTGTCAGATCAAGTGACCACTGCAGTTGGCCATTGCAGGGGACAGTTTTGAGAAGAGGCTGGCTTCTTGATTGTTACCAGAACTCACTCTGTCTCCTAGGAGAGAGTGAGGTAAAGGCTGGGAAAAAAACATGGAAAGAGAAGATGGCTGTAGATTACTCTGCATATATATGGAACAACATCCTACTTTTATATGAGGTAATAGCCCAAGACTCTGTGAGGCCAAGATTTTAGTAAATTCCCTCTTGGATGTAAAAAGTACTCAGGTGGAGGGTTCTGAGTAACTCAGACAGTTACACAGAGGTGCTTCCAGCCTTCCTTTTGAATCTCCCACTGTTTTGATCTTGTGTAATTTTTGCTTTTTTTTGATTGTGGTTCCATGGCTTCCTTTCCCAAGTGATGCTTAACTGTCTCTTGCAGGGTCTAGAGGAAGAGCTATTTTCTCAGAGCAGGACACCTTGCTGAGGACGCTGTTCTGAGCTGTGCCTGTTGTGTCTGTGTTTTGCAGCACAACAGCTCTGTCGCGGACTCGAGGCGCATCACGGTGCGTGGGCTGCAGCCATACACGGAGTACACGGCCAGGGTACGCTGCGGGGCGGTCAAGCACTTCTGGAGGTGGAGTGCGTGGAGCCAGCCCCTGACCACCAGAACAAAGGAAGGAAGTATGTCCAACCCGTTGAGAAGCAAAGTTTGATGGATGTTCCTTGCTTGCCACCTCTCTTTGCTGTTTGTTACTCTTCTGCTGTGTAGTTAAAGCAGAGGCCTGTTGCATGCATGAAAGAAACACTCTATACAAACTTCAAGAAGATGACTTCCTAAAGTAATTGTCAGCCTACCTGTTAGTCTCGAACATTCCCTGCTCTGCAGGCAGTGGGAAATGCAGTTGACTGGGAAGATGGACAGACTGAGATACAGTGCCCTTTGTGGCCTGGAGGAAAGGTGAAGAGGTGGGAAGAGTCTGGTGACTGCAAATAAAGGTTTTCTAGGGAAATTAAGCAGACTCTAATTCAAAAAAAGGAACAGAGGGAAAATTATGTTAAAGGATAATGTTTGGGCAAGACCTGGGAGTGAAAAGGAGATGTTGTGAGTGGAATTTCTTCAAATGGGAGGAAGCAGTTAAACTGCCTATTCTCTCCACACCCAGAGCATTCTCATTTTATTGTTTTGCTGTATTTGTTGCAGCTCCATCAGGGAAACTGGACATATGGAGAGAAATTACACCAGTTCTTGGGGGACGAAATGTGACCTTGTTCTGGAAGGTGAGACATACCTACAGAAATATAAACAAAGCTCTTCATAAAGAAATTTCCATCTCTTGGAAACTTCTCCCATGATTTGTGTGCAGCTGTTAGCAATTCAGTATGAAAATGTCTTTTACAAATCTAGAACAGATTGTATATAAAATATCTCAGAACACATGTAGCTATATAGGATAGTGTGCTGTCCTGGAATTTCAGGAATGCAATTCTATTTTTCTAAGTATTATAATAAGACAGATCCCATTACCAGGACTTCTGCATTTCCATTTCAATCAGTATGTATGAATGTATGGAAACAAGTGTTCATATTTTTACAGAAATAACACATCCTGTTAGTTATTTAAAATTCTGAATGATTCTCTCATATTTGTTCAGCAAGATTTACTAAGTTATTGTTCTCTTCCTCCATAACTTTTTTTCTCAGCAAACACCAAGTTTTCAAGCAAATGGAAAAATTATTTCATATGAAGTAACCTTGAAAAAAATGGAAGATGGCTCCCAGCCTGAAAGCATCTCCTTTTCTTCATTCTACAATAGCACAAGGATTTTCATTGATAACCATTCCTATAAAATCAGTATTGTGGCAAAGAACAATGCTAATTTTTCACTTCCTTCAGTATTGATCATCTCTAGAGCTACAGATAACAGTAGGAGTACTTTCAGTTATAATTATATTACTAGAGTTTTGTTTCTACCTGTTTTGAATGAAGACAGAATTTGTCATCTTGGGCAAAAAATCTTACCTCTTAACTCACACCACTGCTGTATGAAAATTATGACTGTATTTTTTCCTACAGGGTGGCAGATGTGTGTTTATTAAGCTTAAGTGCAGAGAGTATTTCCACAGAGCAAAATACATTTGGCCTAAAACTAGGGCCTCAGAGGTACCTTGATGGTGCTGCCAGTGCCAGTGTGATTAGCTTATTCTGACTCTTTGACTCTAGGTTTCTGCAGCTGATTTTTTTTGGTGAACATGTAACAATTGCTGGATGGTTTCTGAGCTGTCAGCTTTCAGAATATGAAAGACCCCATATGTCATTTAGTGAAGGAATGCAACTCTTTTATTGTTGTTTTCAACTGGTTAGTATAGGAGATGTATTCATTTATGACTCTGAAGTGTCATGCAGGACGATAATAAGAGATTCTGTTTTGTTCATTCCTAGGCACTGGAGAGCTTGAGGAAGAACAGGTCAATGGTACAGATGACGGCATTTTTATCTCCTGGGAGCCCAGAAGTATATATAACAGTTACATTATTGACTGGTGTAACTTTCCCAGGTTGGAACCTTGTGATTTGCAGTGGAAGAGATTTGGACCCAACACTTCCAGTGCTGTGATCAGCTCAGGTGAAAGCCAAACAAATATTCTTTCTGGCTGTGCATCAGTTCTTCAAGCTGTGGGCATTAATTGAATTTAGGAAACAAATATATTTTTTTAAATATTTTGAGTATTGAATTCTGTGCTGTGCAGGTGTAATTCTTCAAAGGCATGTGACATCATGTTTTTCTACCAAAAAACTTGTGTCTAAGACACAAGTTTACCAGCACCATTAAGCCTTGGAATGCAGCATACTATATTAGAAAAGTCAGCACAGTATGTTAGACGAAACCTTTTCTGAGTGGCTTATAGCAGTATCTTGAAGGAGGATGGTGAGGTTAATGAAGAAGTTAAAATAATTTAGCAAGAGAGATACAGAAGGGCATCTATCCTATCTGTAACATGGATCAGAAGTTTAGACTCAGGCAATTTAAACCCATGGTGTAGTGAGAGATTTGGTGCTGTCAGTGTGCCACAAATGATGTGTCTCAGCACCAGTCTCCTTGCTTAAGATCAGTTGCATGTTTTTTATCCTGCTTGTGGCTAGCAAACCTAAATCCTTCCTGTCTGTGTGAAAGTTGCTCTAATATGCTTCCACAGCTACAAGAATTTATCTTTCCTATTGTCTCTCAAGCTGAGAGCTCACTTTGGAATGAAATCTGTTTGAACAAAATTTGTTGGAACACACATAAATTTGCAATAGAGGAGCTGCACCTCAATTCTCACAAATGTACAGAAACTTGCACATAATGAAAAGGACTGTGGTAACACATGGGAAGAGTATTGTCAAATTCTTCAGTGGTTTGCACTTGCTTAATATGAATGGGAGTGAATATCTGTGAGGATAACAACGAATCTTGATATCTTGGATATATGTTTGCATCAAATATTCCAAAACACAACCTTTGCCTGTGCCAGAAACATAAATGAAATTGTCCTTCTTTTTGGTGCATTTAGAGTCTATTGTTCTGTCACCTTGAATACTGTATGGCAAAAAAATTATATATATAAACCTCTCTCCCAATTCTCTCTTTCAGACAGAATAAATGTGTTTAATTCACACAATGCACACCAAAAATTGGCTTGCCCTCTGTCTCCTTCAGTTGCTTTAATAGCACAATAGCACTCAGAGAAGGTGTCTAATACGTTATTGACCTTGGTAGGGAGCAATTAAATAAAAGTAAAGTTGAAAGACAAACCATAGCCTATTTTTATTGAACTGTTTTCTAGCTGCTTTTGTTCCGGGGGTGAGATACAAATTCCGCATCTATGGATCTGTTGCTAATAGAGCATCCTTACTGGAAAAAAAGATTGGTTATCTTCAGGAGCTGCGTAAGTTGGCAACGTATTTGGGGTTTGTCCATTTGCTAAATTGATCTGTCACAAATGGAATAACTGCCTCCTCCTCCAGCTAGATAAAATGGGAAGTTTTTGTGTACTTTCTGTATCTTTAGTGAGGCATTTAACATACATTATCAACATACAGGCCCTACTTGGAGGATATTTGGTTAGTGGCGTGATCAGGTAGAGCCCATGTTTATCAGGAGAGCTAAACAAAGCTGTTATTATCAGTTATTGCTGATAATGTGGGTGCATGAAGGCCCTGTGAAGCTGACAGTTTCTGTAGAGAGCTTTGTTCAGCTTTTAAATAAAGAAAGATATAAACATAAACACCACATGTGGATTTTTCAAATGATAAGAAAAAAGAGTCTTGAAGAATACTTGCAAGTTTAACTTGAATTTCCTTTCTTCCAGCACCTTTTCTTGACCCTATTGTGAGAAAAGTTGACCTGACTTACAATTCAGTAACACTGTCTTGGGATTCTTATCTCACAAATGAGTCAGCACCTGGTTTTGTAAGAGGCTACCACGTTTATGTGTCACCTATACAAGGGAACTGCAGTTTGAAAGAATCAATAAAGCACATTCTTTCAGGTAACTGAGCTCTCTGCTACAGAAAGTTGTGTCATTGATACAAGTGGAAAACTTGTTGGTATTGCAGCATCTTAGAAAGTTCACATTAGGCAGCGTGGCTGGCTCATTCAGCCCTCTCTAGATTTCAACACCTGTTGCTTTTGGTCCTCTCTGTGCTTGAAGTGCTGGTAAGCAGAAGTGATTCCTGGCTTTATAATGATTTACAGCCCACATCCTCTTTTCCATGACTCTTTTTTAGCTCCAGAAAAGACTTCGGTACTATAGGAGGAGTTCTGCCTCTTGTGATGTGAGTTCTGGATGAATGTTGAAAAACATCTGTTTGTGCTCTACTTGGATAGAAGGCATGTTAGTCTTATTAGGACTTGGGGTATTTTAGGAACACATGGGATACAATTTATTTCCTTCAAAATTGGAGCACTGTATAAATTATCCATGCAAATTGTTTTTTAGTGAAAGTATTTGTGTGTTTACAGTGGAGTTCCTTCAGCAGAACTGAGCTGTGAAGTGGCACAAAGCCAAAAATTTATCGCACACCTTTCTGTTCCACATGCAGAACCGCTCCAGATGACTTTGCTCCATTATAATTTTCAGATGTTTCCAACACATTAAAAGACTATATTTTAAATTTTTTTCCATGCCTTTTCTTCTGCTTGGGTCATGTCCTCTGTTCTGCTGATTAGACTAGTGCCAGGATGAAAAGTATAGTTTGAACTGAGGGAGGCTTATGTAGAAGTTTTTGTCAGAACTGAAGTAACCATAAGTACCATAATTCTGTAAGTAATCCCAGTTACACTTTTAAAAGTTTAAATCAGAGATTTTTCTGTTTCACTGCTTCTGCTGGCAGACAAGGGGTGTGACTGAAAACAGCAGAAATAACCTAACCCGTTTCTCCCTGGGGTTTGGGAGTTGCACAGTAGAGAGGCAAAAGAGCTCTTTTTTGAGGCAGAGGTTTCTTGCTTTTGATTATCTTCAAAGAAATTGTCATGAGCTTAAGGGCTAAAGGCTTCTGGTAAAAAAAAAGAAATGACAAAACTCAAATCATTCTGGTACAATGCTCAAGGAAAAAGAAATTAAAATAAACAAGGTTCAGTCCTTGTCAACAAGTTGTTAGGTGTCTGCCAGAGGAGAGCAATGCTGTGGCCAGTCCAGTTAGAAGGGATGTGAGTCCAGCCCAGTGGCAGTGAGTCAGGATGCATCATCCTTCCTGGAAGAAAGTGTGCAAATTACAAAGGAGGCGGATTGCAAATGCTTTGTTATTTCAGTTAACTGGTTTTGTAATATTTTGTGGACAACTTATTGCAACCTTTCAGTACCTAACAGGGTGCTTATAAAAAAATGGAGAGAGAGACTTCTTACCAGGGCCTTTACTGATAGGACAAGTGGTTATGGTTTTAAACTGAAAGAGTATAGGCTGAGATTAGCTATTAGGAGAAGATTTACTGTGAGGGTAGTGAGGCTCTGGAACAGGTTGCCCAGAGAAGCTGTGGATGTCTCGAAGTGTTCAAGGCCAGGCTGGATGGGGCTGAGTAACCTGGTCTAGTGGAAGGTGTCCCTGTCCATGGAAGGGGAGATAGAACTAGGTGACCCTTAGTGTCCTTTCTAACAGAAGATTCTGTGATCCAGTGATTCTGTCTGATCTGTTTTCTTTTAGATGAATCAGAGCTATGTAAATACACAATTGAAAACCCAGAAGAAAAGAGATACACCGTGAAACACCTGATGCCAAACACAAAATACAAAGTAGCGGTTAAAGCATTTACAGGTGGAGGAGAGACTCCCATTGTTAACTTTAGATACATAGATACACCATGTAACTGTGAGTACTGGCTGTGAATAATATCCCCTAGCAGAAGGATGGGATGATTTCCAATGTTATAATAATCTTCCTTTCTTAAGTGAACACATTTAATTCAATGCAATATTCACTTAAGAAAGACTCTAACTGAGAAATGATATGAGCATACCAGCATGGCATTTTGATACTTTTAAGTAGAAAGGATTCTTTTTAAATTTTAGAATGAGACTAATTTACATCTTTATTTAAGTATTATATCCAATATATGCACATTTGCACATATAGTGAGTCCTTTTTTTTATAACTCATTGAAGAATTGTATTTAGATTTAGCTGCTTTTCTAAAATAGGAAAACCTGCAGACTTGTGTGCAAACAGGTTATTCCTGTATGGACTCTTGAACTTCCAATGTTGATTCTTACTCTCACCCATCTTTAAAACTGTTGCCAAGTTCACTCCTTCATAAGTCAGTACAGAAGGGTTGTTGGCATGGGCACAGTAGTTTGCTAACTGGGCAGATTTGATCACCAAAGCAGAAGAGAAAATCACTTGCCCATAACTTTTTCCCTTGAAAATACCAGTCAGCATGGTTGTGAAACTTAGGATCCAGACTAGAGACGCCTGTTTTGAATAACATTTTGGGGCTGGAGATGAAGGTGAAGGGATGGGAAAGGGGGAAGCATTAGTTTATGCAAGGAGAGTCCATGTTTTAGGCTAACTACTACAGTGTCTGAGCATCATGGCACCCTCACAGGCATAGTTTTGCTTCTAACACACAAGTTCCAGTGCCCATCAGCCAGCCAGATGTTTGTACAGACAAGCAGAGAATAAAAAAAAAGGCTTAATTAACCCTAAAGAGGTACAAGAGATGCAATGTAACGTGTCCATTCCGTCCTGTGGTTTGTGGTAGGGATGCACAAACTCTCTGGCACAGGGCAGGAGGGCACTGGACAAGGCAGAGGGAGAGCAGGCACTAACTAGCGCTCCTCCCAGCCCACTTACAGCCTCAGTGTTTGTGAACAGCATAGCCCAAGGCTGTCTTCCAGCTAGAAGGAAATACTGAGATCCCTGTATCAGCATAAATCCTGGGAAACCTGAACACTTGTGTAGTGTTTTTCTTGCTAGCTAGTCCAAAATGGAAGTACAGATGTTGTTCATGTCTCACGGTAAAAATCTGTCTTCTCTGCAAGTCTGAGAGAAACCTTAAACAATACTTAATTGAGGTTATAATTTTGAAAATTAATCTTACAGCTAAAGTGCCAATATGAGGGCAAATAAAAAGCAATCTAGTTATTATTCCATTCTAAATAAAGGGAATCCAGGTCTAAAGGCTTATGGAGATATCCCAGAAATTCCAGCCAAGCTACCTTGCAACCATGGACCACACAGTTTTACTGCTGGGTTAGTGGAAGGCATCCCATGCAGTCTTGATGTTTTTTTTGCCCCAGAAAATCAAGCTATATTGACTTTAACATGTGAGAAGTTAAAACCAGAATTTTAAAGTATTTTTCTCCCACAGCAAACATGCTGCACTTTGTATTCCTGCTAGTGATAGTTCCAACCCTAGTAGCAGCTATATGCCACTGGAAGATGAAGTGGTAAGTTGTAATGCATGTGTCTGTTGTAGACAGACAGTATTACTAATCTAATTCACAAACTACTGCTGCAGCTTGTTGCTTCCAGCCCATTGCAAGGCCCCGTTAATTTCTTCCTTTGGCTGTCTGATTGTGTGGATGTTTTAAGTACTTGGCTTGTGGCATTTCTGGGACACTGATCATCTTTGGTGGCTTCTGTTGGTATGTGCTTTGAGAAGAGAACAAAAATGTCATTTGTTTTGGTCTCTTATATCCAGGGTGAAGGAGTGCTGCTGTCCTGTAATACCTAGTCCTAGCAAGAGCAAAGTGCTGTCATTCAAAGAATTTAAGGTAATATCACTGAACATCTAGAGTTTTCATTTTGTCTGTTCTTTGCATAGTAGCTTTATGAAAGAGTACTATTCTTGTGTTGACTGCATTTAAAAATTAATTTATTAACAGTTTTTGTGTTGACTACTTTTAATTGTTATACACAAATTAACACAGTTTAGTATTACCATTTAGTGGAAGACTCTTCTTTTGACATTCACGCGTCTCTGCAATGACCAGCTTAAATTGCAGTCTGTTACTGTGAAAAGAAAATGCACAACTGGAGAATAAATGAAATCTTTTGACCAGCAGGTGATTCCTCCATGGTTACTGTTCAAACCACTGTACTGTCTGAACTCAGCAGCCCAGAGGATGCTGGACTTCCCTGCAGCCTGGGAGATGCATCCGCCCCAGTGCCCACAGGAGGACACTGCAGGGCTGTGCACTTGCTGGCCCTGGGAGGCTGCAGAGGGTTCTGCCAGGCTTGGCTGGGAAACATAATTGGCAAAAGACCTTCAGCTTCTTCTGTAGCCCCTCCAAACTGTGACCTGCTGCTTCTGTATTGTGTGCTGGGGGCTTCAAAGCCTTTGCTCTGGCACAGGTGGAGCTGCTGGTGTTCACCGAACAGCAGCATGAGAGCAAGGAGTGAAGGACACCTAACAGCCACCGCTGCTGTCTGCCAGTTGCTTCTGCCTCAAACTAAAACCAGCACGTATCAAAAACCTGGCTAAATTTTTAGAGTAGAGGGACATGGTTCCATCCTCAAATATGGTCATTGTGAGTTTACTTAAAAAAAATCTCTAAATAAATAGTCTGATAAATTTCACATAAAATACAGATTCCATTGAACATCTTCTATGTAGGTTTTCCTTCAAATTCAATTATTTGAAAAGTGGTAACTAAAAAACACTGTGTAGGGATATTCAAATTCCTTAAAGTAATCACTCTCTTTTTTCTACTCTGGACTTCTTTCATTGAGTAGTTTTTTTGTTTAATGATTCTCTTGCAGATTGATTCTGAGAAAGTTATGAAGATAAATGACTGCCTTCCTGACATGCTAGCCATGGAGAGTAATGATGAAGCTCATAAATTGCATCCTGTTACCTGGAGCCCATTATCTTCAACACCAACTGAAGATAAGATTGATGGTCACAATTCTTCCTGGATTTACCCTAGTAAAAATGTAGCAAGGGACTTCCCACCCACACCAACACCTCAAAATCATACTTGTTTTGAGAATTTTGCTTACTCTTCTCCACTTGAGGCTGAATCTGATCCCTACCAAATACCAGAGACACTGGAAGCAGGCAAGACAAATCAGACAGTGGTTCTGTACCAACCACAATGCTACATAGATATTTTTCATGAGGACACAGCCTCAACCACCACAGAAACAGTTGAGAGAAAGAACAGTCTGAAATACATCTCACAAACAGATACATGCTGGTTGGGGGAGAGGGTTTGATGTTCTGTTCTCCACTGAGTCCATCCAGTCAGTGTTTGGCTACACACTGTGAGAATTTCTAAAGCCACGGCTTCTTTTGATTAGGGCTCTCACAAGCCCAGATGCCTGACTTCCATTAATAACAGCAAAGCTGTTGTTTCTGGACTAGTTTTGAGTACTGACTTACACAGGAATTATGTGTGTTATAGTTCCATTACAACTTACGGGCATTATATGAGATTTATAGGCTGGTTTGTGGCTTGTGTTATGCAGCAAGTGATATCACAGCAATCTGTCACAGGCTGATGCAGAGAACTGCTTTATTTTGCAGAGATTTAAAGTATTCATAAGTAGAAGAGCAAATTAAACAAGGGGGAAGGTCGTGCTGCTCAAGGCGTGCATTTTTCTTGCAGTGCTCTGTGTACTCTACCAGTACACAGCCAGTGTACACTCTACCACCCCAGCCAGTGGGTACTGTGCTGCTGGACATGGAGCATTACCTGGTCATTTTGGGGGCTGGGTTTATTTTCTCTCCCTCCAACAATATAAGGCATCACTGTAGAAGTGTTACTGCACACAGTGTGGCTCATTCCTGGAAGATTTGAAGGAACTTTGACTTCAACAGGAGTGCTGCCCAGAGCACCCAAATCCATTGATCGTCCTTTTACTTACTTGTGTCCTAACTACACTTGATGTGTGAAAGAGCACAGAAAACAGATTTTTATAGGGATTTTTTATTTTTACCCTGCTTCCATATGTTGTAAATGGGGCTCTTTACACTTCTTCTCTGCCTAAAGACCCTTTAAAATTGTCTTAACTATACATTGAAGAGACGTAGGGAGTTAGGTGTAAAGGAGTCAATTTTCCAGAAAGACAGAAGTGGTACCACATGGTATGGTGCACGTGAACTGAACTTTTGGCATTAACCCCTGTACTTCCCTAGCAAGCCCCAATCAGCCAACCAACCAACCAGACAGTCTGGTAGGAAGCACATATGTCTGAATCGCATTTTTCAAGGACATCATATTCAGCCTGCATACATCTAGATCTCTCAACATTACTTTTGCATGTGTTAAAGAAACAAAACCAAAAAAATATTTACTGTAACATTCAGAATCCCCACAGTAGACAGCAGTGAATTTGGCCTTTCCTTTTGATTTCGGAAACTTGGACATTTGTAATGAAGGAGTACATTCAGAATTGTAGCTGAAAGTCTTATCCAATTTACCTCAGTGCACAAGGAACCCTTTGGTTTTACCTCCTTATGCTGTTTATAATCCGTCACAAAGAGATGGTTTCAGCTTAAGAACACAGCATAAGCAATTCTTAAAGGTGAAACAAATGAAGAATGAACATTTTGATGTTCAGCTTGTTTGCTAAAATGCAGTTGCTTGCCTTCTCTGTGTTTAGCTAGGCTAATCACACTCCTAGAAATGAAACAGCTGCAGACAAGATGAGTTCTGATACTGAATCACATCTAGTTTTTACACTGTTGCTGACAGATACTGTTGTAATGTCACAAGCTGTGTTGCAATGGGAAAACCATTAAGACCTTGCACAGCTTGTGGGCTGAGACAAGCACTGCCTGTAAACAGAGGGAGAAGTCTTCAGCCAGGAAAGGGGGAGGATACAGACACAGAGATGACACCGTGCCATGTCCATCTGAGTGCTGTGCACAGGTGCAGGTGGCTCACAGACTAGAGAAGTAGAGAAGAGTTTGCAGAATGGTCCTGCCTTTCAGCCTCCAGCCACCCAAGTAAGGAAATGCAGCTGGGCACATTCTGCTGAAGGGCAAGAGAACAGGGAGGATAAGGAAGAAGGTTGATTTGACAGATACATACCAGGGAAACTTCCCCCCTTTAGCTTAGCCTCTTCTTTGAGTAACAATGCATGTGAAGGCTTGATACCACAGTATCTTCATGCATGAAACATTTGCTTCTCCAGAATGCTTCACAACATTGTATGTACTTGCATAACTTAAAAGCTTTGCTGCTGGAAAAAAGGCCAATAAACATATGAGCTTTATCACAACCAACACAAAACTTCTCAGCTGTACATTTCAGAAAAAGGTGTATTTATTCTAAAATGTTGAAAATGTATCCTAAATCAAGAACTAAGGAATTCAGATCTAGATGTCAGTCAAAGAAACCAGACTATTGTACAAAGCATTTTAAATTCTGACATTGCTGCAGTTCCTCCTGCCAGGGGGACAGCTGCAACCTGGCACAACTCCCAGCTTTGAAAAAGCTGCTCTCACTGAGGCCTGGCTGCAGCAATTCTACCCAGGAAGTGAATGAAGGGGTTTGTGGGTTCAGCCAGTTGTGCCTTCTGGTGGGGGGGTGAGACACATAGGCCTGGCTGAGTTCCTACTTCTCAATCCCCTGGCTATTCCCAGGGAGATCCTCCTGGTCTGATGAAATTCCATTATCTGGACTCAGTGACATACTTGACCACATTCCAGATCAGTGGGTGAGGGAAGAAGCCGGCTCCTCTTTCCCTATAAACCCTTCTGCTTCCTGGCTCTGATGGGCGGTGCTTTGTGAAACCTGTGCATAAAAAGCATACAAGTGGAGGACTCTAAGGACAGTATCTCTGTGCCAGTAAAAGGGCACAGTCTGGGCACCAGAACTGAAGATTAGAGAAGTATTTTGGCATATGTGGAGAAGTGTGTATAATTTTTATATATTAAAACATCTGTCTGGTATTAATAGTTGAAATGAGTCCAAAATTGTAAACCTTTTTTTTTTGTTCATAATGCAACATTTCTCTTGTTGAAATGGTAATACTTAAGCCATCACATAATTAAACATAATTCTCAGTATGTTAAATTTTTAAAATAAAAATGGTATGTGAACTATTAAAGAGTCTCTGTATCTTATCAAGCATTAATGTAATTTTTTTTTGCAAAAAAAATTTTATTTGGGAAGCTTCTGATTGTTCTAGTTAACTAGTAACTTACAAATATAAGTCAAATTTCAATCCATTTCTAATGCTGAGAGGTACATAGGAGACCAAAACAACTATAAGAAGTTTAAGTACATTTTATTAACAACGCATCCCTTTGATAAGACTACGCTTCAGGAGGCCTTTAATACTCATTGACATGAACTGTACACAGTATACAAAAAAAACCCAAAAAACAAAACAAAACAAAAAAACCCCAAAACTCAAAAAGAAAAAAAGAGAAAGAAAAAAGGAAAACAAAAAAAATCAAGATGGGCAATACCATTTTGGGACAAGCCTCTGTTTAAATTATACACAGCTCAATGCAATATTCTTACGTAAAATATATAAATACTTTTTCTTTCTATGTTACAGGTATACAATATAAATCAGATTTCAATGTCTGTTCAGTGACCTACAAAGACTAGAACCTCCAAATATGTAGCAGCGTATTACTAAACAAAAAATGACCACACAGGACAGGGAGAATAAGTATTGAGATTTTCCTTGATCCCTTCCCTCAGAACAGAATGATTAATTTAGACAAAAATAATCTCTTGTACTACAGTTTTAGGGATGCTGACAGCCCAGTATTGGAACAATTTTTCAATTAGATTTACAAAGTGTAAAGCCTTTTTCCCCTTTAGACATAGCATCTTGTGCTGAAACACTCTATTCAGTGGCAAAATGACGTTACATTTTTTTGGCATAAATTACATTTTGCAAATAAAATAGTGTATTTTAAAAAGCAACTCAAGCAAAATATGCAGTTTCCTTATGCTGCGGCACTTCTCTCCATCTATGCTACAAAAATAACCCAAAGAAAATCCACATTCATTAACAAAACTACCCATGGAACTATTGTGAGTTAAACAAAAACCAAGGAGATTGGAGACCTCCAGAAAAATAAAAACTTGCTTTCCAGCATGTCCTCAGAAGTCTTTTTCAGTTTTAAAATTTCGCTCTCACATCATATATCTTTTATAAGGACACAGTAATAGAAGTGTGACTTAAAAAAAAAAGTTGCTGGACTTGCTTTCAAGTGGCTCCTGTGCAGCTCAGGGCAGGACTGCAAGGAAGTGAGTAGGACCTCAGAGCTTGGTGACAATTCTGCTGCCACGATTGCTGCACCTGAGCTCACATTCACTTACAAGCTTTGCCAGCTTCCTGCTGCCCAAGCTGCCAAACACGAAGGTCCAAGGCACAGAATACAAAGCAGCAACTCTTCCATCCCTCACTGGATTTTGGTTACAGTGTATTTCTTGAACAGCTACCTTACTCTTCGAACACCTAGAAGTGCTTTTTGTTCTCAAGTCTCGCTGCAAACCACAAGTCTCTTTCCAGACCCCTATGCATGTTTCAAAGTGAAATCAGAAAGACAAGCAGGATTCTCACAGGTGCCTTATAAATGTTTAAAAGTGCAGCTTATCTCAGTGTGATGAGCCACTGCACCTGAAACTAGTGAATTGTGTAGGACTCCACTTGGGAAAAGCCACCACCACCCAGCAAAGAGAGGGTGTTCAGGGTACGTTTGTCAGATGTCATTCAAGTAAGAGCTGTCAGATGAGGAAAAGCAATTGGTTCAAGCACAGTATGCCAGGGGACCACATACAAGTTGGGAACATCAAAGCCTGGTATCTCCAGCTCCAAGTGATGTCCGCAACAGCTGGGAGCATTCTGCAGTTCTGAATTTCAGAGAGGTGAAAAGTTCTCCTTTTGGAGAAGGAGACACTCAGCCCCTAGCTTCATCCTCCTTTCCTCGGTGGAGAGGACCAGGCCCTTGTGGAGGTGCCTGGGTGCCTGTCAGTCAGCTCTCTGCTCTTTGGAAAGGGCTCCCCTTTCCCCTGCCTGTAAGAGCAGACCAAGATAATCAGGCAGCTGATACTAATTGTGACTGGCTCCACAAGCAAGCTCTCCTTCCTGGAGCAGCTCCTGCCTCTGAGCTGTATGTGACCAAGCTGAGTTCCTCAGGAGTTTTCTTTGCCACAGCAACTGAACTGTATTTGTATACAGTGTAAGTGAATGCTACACACTTCATGGTTTATTGAGCAGTATCACCAATCACTCAAACTGGAAATATAAAAAGTGGGTGGTCTGTCAGCTTCCCTAGGTGAAGTGAAAGAGAGATTTTATTATGGCTAATGTAAGCACAATCATAATTTACTACAGCTTTCTTTTGAAGTTTTTCATGATACAAATAAAACCCCAAAATAAGGACTTAGAAAGGGACATTAAAAAAAAAAAAAAGAGAACTATAAAATTAGAAATTCACAGTTTATAATTAAGCCAATATAAATTTCCTTCAATAACAGTATCCCCTTCATCTGCCAATTAAGGTGAAAAATCAATGTGAGCTTAATGTCAGTGTGTAAATTAATTTTCTAGAAATGTATGTTATGTACAATACAGACTTAACATCCTTGATGCATACTTGTTGAAATCTACCGACACTCATACGCTTTCAGAAAAAAAAAAATCACGCTTTATAACTGAGTTTGCAGCCATAATTTTTTATGTCAAGTTTCTGTTGTCATGGATCCCCACACAAGCGTTATTTGGAACACATGAGCATTTCAGGATGGAGATTCTTTCAAAAGTATATTTGCTTACCTTTCTATAATCAGAGGCCTTCCTATGATGCTTTCTACATTAAGTGCTAAGAAATGAAGAGAGGTGGGTTTTTTAAATACAGGTGATAAAACTTGTTTATTTTGCCTTAACTGCAGAAAAATAACATGGAGTTGTTCAATGTAACCCCATTTAGTTATTAAAACAAATCTCTTCTACTCTAGCCTAACTGAGGTAGTGTTTGAAACTACTGTATAACATATGCTATCCCCATTTGTGGGAAAACTACATTATTTTCCTTTGGAGTTTATACCACTATTTGGTCTACTGTGATTGACATTTTGGTTTTACAGAAGCATTTATGTCTCATAACCAGAAGTCCAATAGTTACTGGTGTGGTGTTTTCTAAACATTTCAAACATGTCTTGCCATACAGATGTATTATTTATGTCAATGACCATAGAAGAGTTCATTCAGTTTCTTTTTGCTCCTTTAGTGGGAACTCATGAGAAGATAATCTTAGGAACTAAATTTGACTATGAGCAGCAACTTACAGTCTGCTTTACCAGAACCTGATGGTATGCAGTGCACATAAGAATTCAGTGAAGTGATAGCTGCAAAGCAGTGCTTATGTGACATCATGAAATTTCCAAAAAGAACAAATGAATTCTACATTTCACTAGGAATTGTGTTACTGTTCACAGGACTACTTATTGAAATCTCCAGTAGCATAGCTAGTAAGAACAGAGATATGAGCATCAAGATAAATTTCACCTAAGTATTAATCTGACAATTATAAAAAATGGGAGGAGTGAATGGATAAAAATACGTTCTACTTAGTACAGTCCAGCTGAATTATTCACCTATATCAAAATCAAAGGGTAATCCCCTCTATTACAGGCATTCTAACAAAGGTGACCATGCTACTGTATATACACATTTGCATATATTTATATTACCTTTATATAAAGGCTTCTGAATCTTTAGATCCATGATAAAAGTGACAGGGATTCCTACTTTTTTTTTTTTTTTTAGCTTGCACTTACTAGTTTAGAAACGGTACTAGTAACATGATAGAGGCAACTACTTCAATTATTACCAGTCACTGTGTAATTAAACTTTTGCAACAAGTCTTAAATACCAGTACAAAATTATAAGTACAGCTGCTCCAAAATTTGTTACTTAAGGCTTTTCACTACAATTATTAGTACTATCTGATGCTTGATCACTAATCCATTGAAAATTCAAATAAACCTTTGTTTTTATAAAATAGCTGTTTCTGTGGAACTTGGAACACACTCATACTTAAGTCTCCTCACAAAACCTGCAATGATTAAATGTCTTCAAGTTCAGTTTATACAATATTTGCTTATCTGATACAAATCATGCGTTTTAAAGGATTGTAGTTGAGCAAGACCTACATTTGTACTAAATGAGCATGAGTGTAGAAACTGCAAACACATGCATAGTATTTGGGGAAAACAATCTGATTTCAGCATTTTAAATTTTAAATGACTTGTTTTGAAAATCAAATTGTAGTGAAAATCCTTAACTGGTTCAGACAAGATACATGTATGTAAATGCAATGAAATCTAAGAGACTGCTAATAAAATGTCTTAGAACTATAGCAATATTAAAATAACTTAATGAAACCTCAGATTCAGAGGCATTTCTTTCTGTCTGAAGTTACAAATCCCCAAAGTAGTGTTATAAACAGTACAAAAATCAACAGAGAAGGGCTAACATTAATCCCCTGGTGCCCACAACAACAGCATGGCTTCCCATTGCTGGCAGTGGAATGCACCCCCATCTCTCTGATTCCTGGTATCCAGGGTTTAAAAAGCAAGGCATCGTTCTGCTTCTCTGGAACAGAATCGGGAGTCAATTAAAAATGTCTCTGCAAGTTATCCTATTTCATTGTAGTTTATGGTAGAAAATGAAATGAAAACTTGTGGAGGTGTTCAGTGCTTGGCTCTTGCATATACTGGTAATTACTATTATTAAAACTAAGGTAATGTCTAATACATCCCCAAAGGGCTCAAATGACTGTGCCAATAATTGGTTGAGGAAGAAAATGTTTTCAGTTCAGTCTTCAGGTACCAGTAGCTTCTGGAAGGTTTCAAAGATGATGTTCCAAACTTTTTTTCCAGTCAGTGGGAGGTTGTCTGAGCATTTCAAAGTCCATATGCAGAGCACTGCCTGAGCAGAGGTCAGGACTCAGCTGATGCATCAATTACAGGCTGTTGCGTCGGGGTTGCTAAAATAGCCTCTGCCTCCTCATGCATCTAAAAGGGAAGGATGGAGTATTAATATTGCTAGAGATTTTACTCAGGAGACATTACAAAATTGT